GTAGATTAATTGGAGAAAAAGCATACAGAGATATTAATGTGTCCATAGGTAGAAACAGAGTGGTTATCCAACCTCCCAGTGTGGTATAGAGTCTATCTGTATGTCTTTGAATCACATATCTGAGAACACATTGGTCCCATCAGTGACCTTATCTTTCCACTGTTGTATACCCATCATCTGGAACAGAGCCAGTCAATATCTCTTCCAATAAGGAAGCTGGGTAAGTCTTCTGGAGAATGTGGCTGACTTAGAAGGACCAATGACAAAATCTGTAGGACTGATGATAAGAGGGTTGAAGAACAATTAGAAGGTTCACAGGCAAACTCAAATTCCTCTGAGTTGGAAGAGTAGTTTCTTGTAGATAATAAGTACAACATTAAATTTTTCTCAAAAATGTACCCTTAAAAGAGGTACCGTAGAGTTTTTGTGAAGGAAATAGACTTCATTTCTCTATTCTCACTAATATCTTGCTATTATTTCTTTTATTTCAGCTTTACGTCATTATGACTTGCTGTCAAGATGGACAGCAGAGAGACTTGATGCTGTAGTCATATCCACCAAGTAAGAGCCACGTGGTTTTGTTTTCAGGTCAGATGCCAGGTGCACCAACTCCCTCAGCTTTCTTAGATGACAAACGATTATGCAAAAAATACGTGTTTCTCAGATTATACTAAGGAGGTGATTAAAAGTGAAAGCTAGGTCTACCCTAAGTAGAGCTGAGAAAAAAGTGTGTGTGCACGCAGGCTGTGTGATTTAGGTAAGAAGAAAGAGCTAACCATAAAGAATATTCTTTTCACATAAATTTAAATTGTATCATCCATGGACCTGATTATTTGCAATAAATATCCTCTCAAGCTTTATTTTAAAGTTTTTAATAATGAGTGTTCTGGAGAAGGAGAACAATTTATAAAATTACATTATGAATAATTCCCACCTCTGATGGTCATTGTGAAGACTAAATGATAAAATATCTAAGACAGACTTAGCCTGGTGTGTGGCACTTGATGAATCTAAAATATTAATATTTATTAACTAATTGAACAAAGTTAATGAGTTTGTGTAAAATAGTGTGCTACATCAACAACCCATGTTTGAAAGGAATATATAGGGACAGTAAAATTGGGGGTAGATTGCTAGGTAGCCCCATGCCTATTAGATTTAAACATCAGAAAATAAATGAAAAGTTAAGGAATAACATAGTGATGACTATTTGCCAAGTTCAATCATTATTATAAAGTTGTAAAGTGGGAACATGATGATGCCCAATATTTAGAACCTTCTAATGTGGGATGAGACAGAATTCTGAGACAAAGGCTAGGATAGAAAGAAGTAAAATCTTTACTTTTGGAGAGAGAGAGAGGGAGAGAGAGAGAGAAAGGCAGAAGCTTCTGATCCCAAAAGACAGAAGCTTCTGTGGGTGGTTTGTTTTTCCTTTTTTCCCCTTCTCTCTGAGACTGCCTTAACAGACTGCTTGGAATGTGGTCTGTGAGTAACTGGGTCAGACTTCTCCTATTTTCTCAGTTCTTTCCCATTGCTGTGAAAACAAACCCTAAGAGAAGCCACAGGTAGTTAATCAGAGGAGGCAGCTGTGTGCTGTGATCTTTCTCTTCAGAGGGGGTTATTATGTATTAAGAGTTTTCTTCTTTTTTTTTCTATTAGTTTTATTAGTCTATTAGTTTATTTTTTCCGCTTTAGATAGGAGCAATGCCATCCTTTCAATCATCAATAATAAATGTAGTAGAGTAGGGAGAATAAAACTTTTAAAAAAGCAACTAGAAAATCCAAGCTTATGCCAAGTTTTATATTTCCACTTCATTTTTGATTTTAATTTTCTTAAAAATGGTAAGTCAAATAGTAGTATAAGTCACATTCCTGCATCTGAGTCATTGAAATGACTAATAAATCACATGTAGTTAAAAGATAAAATATACTTTTAAATATTTATACAAATATGTGCCCCAGTTTTGAATGTATTCTTATTTAATTCATATTAAAAATAAATAACAAACTCTATTAAAAGATGGATCATTTTAGTTCTATGAAAATTAAAATGGCTGATAAGCACATGGGAATATGCTCAACGTCATTAGTCATTAGAGAAATCATGTCAAAACTACAATGAAGGGTAGCGCCTATGGCTTAAAGGAGTAAGGTGCTGGCCCCATATGACAGAGGTGGTGGCAGGCTGAAACCCAGCCCTGGCAAAAAACAAAAACAAAAACAAAAGCACACAGTGAAGCACACTAACACCTACTAGTGTGACTATAAGGAAAAAGTAGATAGTAGCAAGTGTTAGTGAGGACATGGAACAGCTGAAATCCTCCCTTCTGCTGGGAGAAATAAAAAATGGTGTAGCCACTTTGGAAAACAGTTTGGCAGTTCCACAAAAGGTTAAACATAGAGGTACCATGTGATCCAACAACTTCATTTCTGAATATGTACACCAGGGTAATGAAAACATATTCATGTAAAAAGTAGTTATATGTTTATAGCAACACATTTCATAACACCTTAAAAAGTGGAAACAATCCTACGTCCATTGAAGGGACAAAGGGCCTTGGCACTGTAAAATTTGCTGAAGAATCACTGACTTGAGGTGGACTGAGTAAAGAGAGAAAAGGAACAGAAACTTATTTTAATGTGTATACTGGGGAGCCTTCAGAGTGAAGACTCAAAGATATGGAGGAAATTGTCTATTTTTATGTGTAGGTCCAACAAAATATGAACAACTGTGTAGAGAAATGTGATTGGACAAAATGGATATGATCTAATGTTAATAGACTTAATGGGAAAACCCAGACACGCCCCTCTGAGCACTCATCCCATCCTTCTGGGTATACAGCAGGGCCCTCTCTGGAATGGGGATCTTTTGAATCTACAGTTAAGCAAGGTAGTTCAGATAAATTTCTTTTTTTCTTTGTTTTTTTTTTGGCTGGGGCCAGGTTTGAACCCACCACCTCTGCTATATGGGGCTGGCACCCTACTCCTTGAGCCGCAGCACTGCCCCCAGATAAATTTCTTTATGGGCTGTGTTTACACTTTTTTTTGAGTGATAAAAATATTACAAAATTGATTGTGTTGATGGTTGCATACCCTCTGAACATACTAAATACCACTGAGTTGCACATCAATATAGATGACTTACAGAAAGGGATACCCACGTCATCAAGAAACTTGTGAAAAGTTACTATACACTAGGGAAGTCTAAATTAAAACCATTAGGAGATACCTCCGTATACTTGACATGGCTACAACGAAAATCACTTAAAACACCAAGTATTGATGAGGCTATGCATCAATAGCCCTGTCCTAAACTGCTGGCTTAAGAATAACTTGGTCACTGCCCAGTAGAACTCTGATGGTATAAAGCAAATTTAATCCTAGATGTATAACTGTGACTATCAATAATATGGGTATATATCAATAGAAATACCATTGTATTTTCATAAAAATAATTAAAATATTCATAGCAGCACTGTTTGTGGTAACCCAGGATTGCAAGCAGCCCAAATCCCCAAAACATTTTTTTTTTTTTGCAGTTTTTGGCCAGGGCTGGGTTTGAACACACCACCTCTGGCATATGGGGCCAGCGCCCTACTCCTTTGAGACACAGGCTCCGCCTCCTCCCCCCAAATA